GTGGGGGTGGGGGGGGGGGGATGCGGTGTGTCGGTGTGTTGTATGTGATAAAATATGGTACACACCCAGATGGACTCTGTCTTTGAAATCTCACAGGAGCCATAATAAGCGAGAGTGATTTTTATTGCTGCCCCTTGGCATCTTCCATTTATTAAAAAGAATGTTTTTAACAGAGGAGTAGGGTTGTGCATAGCTTCGGATCCGGAGAAACTTTGGATGCTTCAACATCTGAAGCAGTATGTCCAGATTGAAGCGCTGGTTCCTTAGGCTTTCTGAAGTGGTTCAGAGCTTCTGAACTGCTTCAAAAAAGCTTCAGAGCTGCCTTGGAGATCCGGCCATGGGGTATAATGGGGAATCAATGAAATATCTATAAGTTTGTTGTTTTTTTGTCTGGTTTGGATGAAACTTGGAGGGGTGGTAGCCTCTGTTGACAAGTGTTAGATGTTAATGAGCAATGATTAACACCTACAAAACCACAAACTAAGGAGACAAAATAATCAATACAGACAATCAACTGCCCCAAGACAGAAACAGTTGCACAAGCACCCATGTCATGAGTTTTGTCTGTCAGCAGCTAGAGGTGGAGGGACCCAGAACCCCTGCACCTATCTCCTTGACATCTGTCAGGCTTTGGGGCTGCAGCAGGGGCTAGCATCCCTGCAGCTTTCACCCTGCTGTGCCTTAACACACACAATGTCACCCATGTCATGAGTTTTGCTTGTCTGCAGCTTTAGGTGCAGTTCCCTCCAAACCCCTGCAATTATCTCTTTGAAACTTGGCAGGATTTGTGGCCTGATCAGGGGCCACCACCCCTGCAGTTTTCAGCCTGGTGCACTTTAACACACACAGGGTCACCCATGTCATGTGTTTTGCCTGTCAGCAGCTTGAGGTGCAGTTTCTCCCAAACCCCTTCACCTATCACTTTGAAATTTTGCAGACTTCATGGCCTCATCAGGGATTACCACCCATGTAGTTTTTACCCCACTGTGGCTTAATATGTACATGTGACATGAGTTTTTTGCTTTCAAGAATTTGGGGTGCAGTTACCCAGAAACACCTGCACCTGTCTTCTTGAATCATGGCAGGCATCATTTTCTCAGGATAGGCTACCACTCCTGCAAGTTTCATCCAAATCAGACAAAAACCAACAAAGTTATAGGTATTCCATTGATTTCCCCATTATAACCTAAGGTCGGATCTCCAAGGCAGCTCCGAAGCTTCAGAGCCACTTCGGCCGGATCAAAGCAGTAACCCAGTCCGGCACTCTGAATCGGATTACTGGCATCTGAAGCGGCTGGATCCGAAGCTGGATTGAATACCTGCCTACTCGCACGGGCCTACAGAGGAGTAAATCACTTTTTTTTTTCTCTTAGTATTTTAATACAAAAGACCACAGACATGATTCTTGTGGTGTATTTAACTATATAAATAATATGTCATTTTCTGTTTCATGTACATTTCCTGCAACAATCTATACTTAAACTTCATATTTTCATTTAAGTGCTTTGTCTTTAAGTGTTTTGATATGAATATTCATACTGCTGTAGGCGGTGCATGTTTATTCCTGCAGTAACCTTGAAAACAGTATTGGGTGCCATTCTGCAGAATATGGAAAAAATTAAAAGGAGAGCTTTCAAAGCAATAAATAATAGATCTGTTAAGTATTTCAATCAAACCTTTTAGTTCTCTCGTTAGATGTCATTTTTTTCTTCTCTTTTTAAAATAGGTAGATATAGTGGTCATGAAAGTTTCTAAAAGCATAGCCCTAATGACAAGACTTGCATGGAAAAAAATGGGACATAAATGGTCAGTGCAAATTTCCTGTTCAATACTTAAAGAGATGACAGCATAATTCAGGTACCTTTTGAACTACACAGAAAATGTTTTTCACAGTCTTGCAGCTTTTTTGAAGTTTTAGGGGAAAAAAAAATATTCCTATGCCATGCCATTCCATCCCAATCAGCACAACAAGTCAAAATACTGGCAAATCTTTCACAAATGAAAATACAGGGAGAGGGATGAAGGGAGGGCATGGAATTACGTCGGCCTTTGGAAATTTTAGCCTTCTCTCCATCAACTGTTATTTTCTCATCATCCTTTAAAAATAATGGATCTATAATTTCCTTCATCTCTCTTCTAAATGTATTGATGGTAACCTTTTCTAATTGCTCTTTATGCCTCTGACTACTAGGGGTGTATGAAGTGGGCCCTATTGATTCCAATTTGGCCCAAATCAGGGACTGTGATTCAATTCACTGGTTCAGATCACTGTCCCTGATTTGATTCGGCCAAATCTGAAGATTTGATGCTGATTCAGAGAATCAGTGATTTGGACATAGACACAGCTTTACAAGATTTTTCTACATACTGTTAGGGTAACTATGAATTTTGGGGAGTACTGGGTGTGCAGCTGAATGAAGGCTTTTTCCTGTGTCTCAGCAAAAGCTGTGGGTCACAAGGCTGGATAATATTTTAAAAGGAACCTCTGCAAAAGTCGCTGGTCACAAGGCTGAATGATATATTAAAAGCAACTAACTTTGCTAATGCTTAAGTAAGTGGATTCTTAACAAAAGGATTGGATGCAAAGTGCATGATGTGTTGGGTAGAAATAGGATGCAGCTGACCAGCTATCATCAAGAGACAAAGCAGAAATATGGCCTTGGAGATGGTGCTGAAGTCAGCAAGAAAACCAGAAAGAGCCAGCAAGAAACTGCAAGTGACCAAAAGAAGATAGGAGTCAAAGTCTTACGCATGTGCTCTTAGCAGAGAGGCATGTAAATGAAGGAAATGCATAGGCAATACCTTGCTAATGAAGTAAACAGAGGTGGAGCTTGAGATGGGAGTAAAAAATGGGTGGAACCAAAGGAGGGCTGAAGACAGAGTAAATGTTAATATGTAGGAACCAAGGTGTATAAAATGTGAAAAGAACTAGTGTTCAGTGCAGGTCCCCTGGTTCACAGACTGTGTTCTGTGAGGGACCCTTGTCCAAACCTGTCTCCATTCTGAATAAAGCTGTTGCGAGCAATGTGTGTTGGTGTTTGCTCCCTGCTTGCTCTGGCTAATGAGTACCGGGATTCATGAGCAACTGGACCAGCATCTCCCTAGTCATTGGGCACCAAATGGCATCGGGGTTTAACACATACTTTGAGGTAGCAGGCACGGCTCGTGGACACTGTGATTCTGGGGCACATGGAGCATCCCACAGGAGTGAGGAGGGCCCCTCCACGTGCTCAGCAGTGAACCAAGAAGTGGACCAGAAGTACTTCCAGTCCACTTCCAGGTCTGCTGCCAAGTGCTCTGAGGACCCTCGTGCTCCTATGGAACACTCCATGAGTCCCAGCATCACAGCACTCACAAGCCCCTGCTACCTAGAGGTACGTAGAAAAAATATTTAAAGCTATCTCTGTCTGAATCTCTCCGAATTGATTCAGAGGGTTCTGATTTGATTTGGAGAGATTAAAGAGTTCTCTGATTTTTATTCAGCTTCAGAGATATGGCCACCAAATCATGCCGAATTTCCATCAAATCGAATCAGGGTCTGAAGCTTCTCACAGTCTTACTGACTACGCGTAATACTCTTTGTGCTATAGTCTTCCTGCTTTTGTCCCTGTGGCTGTGTTGTTTCTTTTTTACTCATCCCTAGAAATGCATACCTATTTCCACTGTTCTATGAGTCCTTTTTCACATCACTATAAACCTCCTGCTTCAGCCCTATTGGTTTCTATATTTTCCATTCTACTACTGCCTTGTGAGATGCATTCAATGGTATTACAATCTATAATATAATCTCTCCCTTATCTCTCAGCTCCCCTGTACATTTTATTAGAATTATTTATGTAGAAACTTTACCTATGATTTCCTCACGTGTGGTCTTCAAACAAAAGGTTGTGCTCACTACCTCCCAAGATCCTCTTGGACTGATTGTGTCCTGTCCTGTTGATTTTTCCAGCAGTAATCTGGATTAAATACAAAAAAATGCCCCTCAGCCACTTCCTACTCTTGGTTTGGAAGTTTAGTACAGATCCTTATCATGATATTACCTCCATGTACGATCAAGTCTTTCAGACATCAACTTCAGAGTAAGCACAGATATTCTTGATATACAAAGCAACACTCTTTTTTTTTTTTTTTTTTTTTTTTTTTTGTCTTAGTTTTTTTAAAAGAAAAAAAAAATGTTCTTTGTGGAGGAATCATCCCTCCATCTGGCTCACTGCTGTGAGCAGGCCACCCTTCCCTGATCTGCTTAATTTAACACTGAGTTCTGACCTGGGCTGGAGACATTCTTGAGGGAGGAGGAACCTGCTCCCTTTGTCTCAAGTTTTCCGCCCTTGCAGGTCATGTGACTGGTTCTCTCTTCTGGTCAGCTGTGTGTCATTGGGAAGCACTGGTCAGCAGCCAATGGGACTGCTTCTGATGGGAACTTAGTGATGAAGTCAGAAGGTCTATTTAAGTTATCCTCTCCAGGAAGAAGGGGACCCACACTGAGCATCATGGACTTCTGCAAGCCATCTCTCATACTCGGGATCCAGAAGTGAGTAACTTACCAGAAACTTAACTAGGAACTCAGATTAATGTACTCTAGTTGCATATCAAAGGGCTACCAAGCCTCTCTGTTTGCTCAGGGTTATTCTCTTGCTACTCTTCAAACTTGTATACCTCCCCATGCCTACCCTCTTTACCCAATAAAGCTGTCCATTATAGCCAGCAGTGTTGTACATGCTCGAGAGGAATTGGGCAGGCCTTCTTGCTCCCTTGGCTTGGCTGACCAAGGGAGGCTACTTCTTAAGCTTCAGGCTAATAGATTCACTCCAACATCCCAAGGTTTACAGGGCCTGTGTATCCTAGGCAGCACAGGGCCCAGACAGACAGAGACCTGAGTCTGAGTGGTGGCGGCACTACCCCAGGCTTGTGGGTGTGCTCCAGGAAGGGGGTTGGTCAGAAGTTGGAACCTGTGGAGAGGCATCTGAAGCCTGGTTTTTGGTGGGGCACAGTGAGGTGGGTGCCTCAGCACAGGAACACCCACTACTGGCTTGCCATACTCTTCACCCAATATTTCAGTCCTAAGATTTATCCCACCAAATCTTTGTGATGCTAGTTAAGATGTAATTTCAGTATTGCTCTAAGACGTATGTCTGTTCTGTTTATGCTCCATTTTCCTAGTGTTAGTATATGGATATCTAAGATGTTGAGTGTGTTGCTCCACTCTTTTTTTTTTTTTTCCTCCTGTCTCTCTCATGATGTTGTTACTGTTTCCCATATCCCTGCCATACTTAATAAAACTCTTTTTTTTCTGTTGGCTTTTGTCACCTGCCCCTTCAAACATGGGTATAATCCCTCCTAACTGGGTTGGCAAGCAACTAGGTTTAGATGCATCCCCTATTCTTTGTAAGATAGACCTCAAAAACATCCCACTGTCAGGAAAAAAAATCCAATACTCAAGAAAGCTAATACTCTCATGTTGACATTACTTGTGCAATGATTCATCCTTTTCAGAATATATCTGTCTTACTGGACTTTTAAAGCACTTAAAGCTTGATTCTGTACAATCTATGTTCAAAATCTGAGTCAAATTGGACTGAACAAAACATGACTTAGACAGAAACCTATTTAATATTACACAGAATACCGGTGTGGGGCAACAAAATTATACCTTTATAACTGTGCCCATGATCACTCCCACAGACATGGTTATATCTAATGGCCTCTGCAAATTTATCTTGCATAAAAGGATTGTGAAGGGAGATAGCTATGTTATTTTTATTTTTATTTTTTTTTAACCAATTCAAATCTTCAAAAGGTTAAGGTTGGTTTGGGTTTGCATATAATTAAGGTTTGGACCAATTTTATCCTAGATGAACTGTCACCTCTCTATTAGGGCTGTGAGAAATTTCACCAGGTGTTTCATTTCAAAGCTGTTTCGATGCATTTTGAGCTCAAAACAGCAAAATTGAAATGAAACAAAAGTCTTCAAAATGAAACAAGGACACTCAAAACATTTTAAATGTTTTGAAACATTTTGAGGTTTGAAGCCAGGCTTATTTGACTTCAGTGCTGGTCCTAACCAGCAGCAGCAGCCTCCTGTCATCTGGCAGGCAGATTTGGAGGTCTGCCTGCATCCCCAGGAGGGTGGCAGGGCTGTGCTGGACTCCTCCTGGGGGTGCGGGGCCCTGATCTGCTGGATGACAGGAGGCTGGTTCAGCCGCCTGCAACCAATCTTTCAAGTGCTGGGCGCACGCTGTGCCCAGCACCAGTCCCAGGTGGCAGCAGCATCCTGTGATCTGGCAGGCAGATAGGGGCAGGCAGACTACTCTCTACCCCCAAGAGTAGTCTGTCACATCCCTGAAGCC